AAATGTAATGATTTATAATAGATTTTACACCAGGGGTACTACGCAAGTATACGCATCGTTTCAATAATATAGGATTTTCCTTGAAAACCTCAGTATTGATCCCACGAGGAATGTGGTAACTCTTAAAATTGACTTACCAAAATTCTATTTAAATTGTAAATTAAAAAGATAAAAGATTTAAAACGATATGCTTACTAAAAATTACTACTAAAGAGCTAAAAAAAAGTAACAACTACATGTAATAGCTTACCAAACTATAACAACGAGTTTGTATATTATGGCAAACTCTTCCTTTTGCAAAGAGATTTTAATCTATGAAGGATTCAAATAATTTAAGACAAAATTGAAGTATTGTAACGAATAGAAGCATATCTTATTCTTTACTCCTCTCGTTGCTAACAAATAACATTAGCTAACTTAAGACTGATTCCTTAATATTTCAATTCTGCATCAGAACTATCTAGCCTCTCTCCTCTTGATGTCCCTAAGCCTATGCCACCATGATGGCTAAATTCCAATGTAAGGGTACTAAACCTTAAGCCGAATTGAAAAGAATCTAGCCTGTCAATCTAGAACTAACCAATTCTACACCCATCAAAACTTATCCCCTATTTATTTACACTTTCCCTTAGATGATCACAATGGCTCTGCCTAAAGGTATCTACTAATTATGTGAAATCATAGCTCTCTTAGGTCATTATGTTTTTTAACAGATTTTAACCTCACAAGTGGTAAGTAAATGAAGGTTCGGTGAAAATACCATCACAATTTTTAAATATAAAAAGAAATGTTTAAATCATTCTCATCCCACAAGATTAAGTCTCACATGTAAGGAGAAAAAAATGGAACTACTCATATTTCATGGAGATTAAACAAAAACAAAACATTTGCATTGAAATTCAAGTCTTACAACAAAAACTTAACACAAGTACAAAATACCTTATGTCTTCTCCCCAAGTAAACTTTTGGAGTTTCCTTTAAGCAGTCTCCAAACTTCTTCACACTAAAACACACTCACACTTACACTTGAATACAAATTATGAAAACCATAATTCAATATTGCCCCCAATTGAAGTTTTGAGGCTCCAAAAGGTCTCTAAATTCAGCCAAATTCTTCTCATTTTATAAAAAATAGAAAATAATAACCAAGGGTTGCTTCAAACACCCCTCCAAATTTTACAAAATTTAATGTATCTTCTTGAAAAGTAGTTAATGTTGCTATATGGCCAGTCTAAGGCTCTATAGCGTCCATCTTCGCTCGTCTATGGCGCTATAGTGCCAAGGGGTGGCGCGATAGCGCCACACCAAATTCTTTAATTTTGCTCCATTTTCCCCTCATTTTTTCCAAATGTTCATCCCATGTCAATGAAACAAAAACATGCAAAATACATTCCTTTAAAGTACAATATTATTAAAAATGTACATAAAAGCCTAATAAAATATGCACTAAAACAAGTTATTTTTAGGTGGATCATCCAACTAGGGAGCTTGTTTGCCACTCAGTAGAAGTGGGGTTTTGTTAAAAATAACCGTGAAGAATATGAAGCTTTGATTGTCGGGCTGCGTATCACCTATGAAAAGGGAATTTGGAACCTCAGACTCACAGTTGGTCGTGGGCTAGATAAATGGAGAATTTCAAGCGAGCGATGCAATGATAGTAAAATATATGAACAAGATAAAAATAAAAATTAGGAAGTTTGCCAACTTTAAAATTGAGCACATCAATCTAGAAGAGAATCAAGTAGCTGATCTCCTCTCTAATTGTATTCACTTGGGGGAAGGAACATCTTAGAATCCGGCCTGACCAAACATCGAGTAACGTGAAATAATGGAGATGGAAACTGAAAAAGTGAAGAACTGGATGGATCCTTACACCCATTACTCAATGAATGAGAAATTTTTTGAAAAATTTGTTGTTTCAGGAGGGTCAAATTCAAAGGAGCTTAATATCTCATGATTGAAGTAAGGCTTTTTTGAAAGTCATCCACTTCCATTTACTTGAGGTGTGTAAGGGAAAATGGGGTGGAATATATTCTTTGGGAAATGCACTCCAATGACTGCGGATCTCACTCAAGTGGGGAAGACCTTGTCGCACAAGATTCAGCGGCAATAAAAATTTTATCTGATACTTCACAAAGATACATATGAGTTTTTTAGGAGGAGAGAATAGTGTCAAAAGTATGCTTCATTGAAATATAGCTAGCTCACAAGCTTCAATCAATTGTCAGTCTGCGACCCTTCGTTGTCTGGGGCCTTGATATCCTTGGGCCTTTTTTGTCGTTGAAGGCCCAACACAAATTTCTTTTTGTCGCTATTGATTACTTTTTAAAGTAGATTGAAGCCAAGTTGCCACACTGAATGAAAGCCATGTTGTCAGTTGAATACAACCATCATAGTTAATGGGTTGTGATAGCTTCAACATTCGATGAAGAAAACCTAATCAACTGGCACAAATTAAATAACAAAGGGATAATGTAAGCACTCAACTTGATAGAAGATAATTGAGCATAGTCAGCCTCCAACATGAAGAAATCAAGAGACGCATTGCACACTACTACAATCGGCACATCTGAGAGAAAGCCTTTGCCCCCAAAGATCTCATTCTGAAAAAAGCCAACCTAGCTACACGAGGACAAGTGGTCAGCAAATGGACCAAACCTGGACGAGACTATTCATTGTCCACTGGTGGATAACCCTAGGAGCTTATAACTTAAAGACATGCGCATGAAAAGAAGTCCTGCGCACGTGGAGCGAGGACGACTTATAACATTTTTTTCATTAAATTTTTTTTTATCAAAATTAATAAAAACAGTTTCGCTCCATGGCTTGTACATTTTTTGTAAACGTAATAAAAGCTTCTAAGCTAATTCTATGTATAAATTTCAGGTTTGACTAACACTTGGGGAACTGAGAATTCCCAATGACCAAAACATGTCCTACACTTGAAAAATCTATGCTGAGTAGAAAAATCAATAACAACATAAGATATTTGATCAATAGAATTTTTTTTTTAAGTTTGACAATGGTGCAAGGCACTAGATTGGCATTTATCTTGAAGCTTAACTGGTAACGGTGACTAACTTTTGACCGATAAGCCCCAATAAAATGACTGAACGCCCAACATAATAAAATCTTCTCTCCTAGCTCAACACAATTTTATCCCCAGAGATGGTTCCCTCACTCATCAACGATAAGATCCACACTTAGTGGCGTGCAAAATCATCATGACGGTGAGTCTCGACGATTACCCTTCCTCACCCCGCTCCTTCTCCTCCTCAAAGGTAGCGACAATATCAACACCTGACGAAAGATGAGGCTCAACCGAGGCAAGTGCTTAATAGAGCAAATATATATGGAGGGTATAAGACTTGAGCCTAGTGGTTGATGCAAATCAAAACTGACAAAAAGTTCTCAAAACTGAACACTTCACCATGCATAACATCGCAAGCAATCGAGCAGTAAAGGTAAAACGACAAGTACACAAAACCTAAAAAAGTTTTCATTATAAGAAAATCTGTATATAAGTTTTTTCTCCATGAATACACAGTTCAATCAAATTTAGCCGAGCAAAATTCTTTCCTAAGTAAAGATAAAAAAAAAAGAGAAAAAAGTCTTAGAAGTTGTCGATCTATCGTTGATGCCACCTCCTTCTTTCGTCGCTCCAATGGACTGTTCGTTGCTGTCCTCTGGGTCGAAAAGGAGGGTGACAAACTGCTTCATGTTAGCCCACTTGCAGTCGACCAAACCCCCTTTAATATAGCTACAGGTGGCCAAGGAGATGCTTGCTTGAAGTTTCTTGGAGGGCCCCTCGATGTGCTCCTTAGCCACCATCTTGGTCATTGTCGTCTACAAGTTCGCATTCTCTTTCTCTTGGGCTGACATGGTCTCTTCGTGATCCTTTCCTTCATCTCCCGAATCTGAGTTGAGAACTTCAACCTTTTTTCAGTTTGAATGACCCCTTGCTTTGCATTAAATGTTACATTATATATTACATTAAAAGTCATAAATTGCTTAAATACTAAAAAATAACACAAAAACTATAATTAAAAAAAATAATATTATTGTAATATATGTCTTCATGTCCAAACAAGGAAGCCTCTTGGAGAATTTTCTTTCCAAAACTAATCTCTATTCTTTGTAGTTATCTGAAGTGGACTCCTCATAGTTCTCGACTCATTTAAAAAAGTCTCAATCATCAAGCGTTTCGTTTATGAGACCCATAAAATTTTCTCCCATAGCTAAACCATATATTTTCGTTCGACTTACCATATAATTCTAATGTATTTACTTGTTAAACACCTAAAACTACCACACGCCTTCAAACCACACACTCATGTAAGACATTTTCCAAGAATTATAAGTAACAACAAATGCTAAATAAAGATGGATTAACCATGCAATATATTCCAAGGACATCCTCCCCATCCAACAACATAAATTTGTAAAGGATCATATCATGATCACAACGACAACAACAAATCAGAACATAATCTAAGAAGATCATACCACGATCACAGAAAGATATGAAGACATAAAGATCATACCACAATCATAAAAAGGCAAAAATAACTACGAGCCAATCCAAACTGAACGAATTCCTTCACACCAGCCCAACTTTCTGTCATGCATCACATAAGTATTCGAGCTAACATCAAATGCTCAAGAAAATAAAAAAAACCCAAATTTCACAACAACAGCTCAAAACAAAAAATTCCAATGTAAATCATCCAAAAACTCACAACCTAAGCTATTCACATGAAGCAATGAGAGTAAAGTAGAGAGAGTGAGAATGACGGAGGATAATTTAGAATTTGAGGTATCTCTTTAGTGTAGTCAGAAGAGAAATAAGCGAGACCAACATTAAAGAACGACCACAACATTGCATAAAGAGAACAAAACTCGCATCATAAAATTTTGCCCTATTTGATCGTATATTGGGGATAAAGACAAGGAAAAGTGAAAATGAGATTGGTTAAAATCCGAAGAGAAAAATCTCTATCATGGAGCTCTCGACGGATCACTCTCCCTATCAATATGCCACAATTGGGAGCCAGCAGCACCAACGCCGCACTCATGCCACACAGGCCAAACTAACTGAAGGTATATTGCACCCCACTGCTGTGCCTAAAACCAGCTAAATGACAACTCAACCAAACTGGGAATAGAACCCAAGCAGGCAGCCGCAAATCAGTGGCATTTTCGTAGTTTGAGAGTTTTTTTTTCAGGTCGAGGCGCCAATTTTCTTCTCGGTCCCATTGATCTGGCCAGCTATATATAGTAGTCAGATTGCCATATTCGTCTGTAGGAAGATAGAAGCAGGGAGGGAGGGCACGCTGCCGCCTTTTCGCACAGTGGTCCGGCGTGGAGCCTTAGGGGTTCGATTCTCGGAGCTTGGAAGATGCTACTGAACTGCGCCGCCATGAGCCCAACCGTTGTTCGGGACGCTCCGGCAGTCGCGCAATGCCGGCGACGAGAGCCCTCTGTTGCCGCACCAATTCGGCGGGGGGAGTCTGCCCTAGCGGCCTTACGCTCCTGCCGGGTGGGTCCTGTGGCAGTCGGCTTACCGGCGCGGGAGACTGAGCAGGGCGGTGGAAAGGGTTTTGCAGAGCGGTTGAGGCTGGGGAGGCTTGAAGAGGATGGGTTTTCGTTCAAACAGAGCATCATTGTTCGTTCCTATGAGGTGGGGATTAATAAGAGGGCAACCGTTCAAACCATCGCCAATGTCCTCCAGGTCCCCTCCAATGCTCCTTTTCTGTGTAGTTTTTTTCAACGAGTCTGGATCTCTGAATTGGTTTTGGGTTCCGTTGCTTCATGCTTTCATTTCCAGGATGCATTGAATTTTCTAATTTGGTGAACTCATTTCTGATTTGGATGAAGTTGGTTCTTTTTTAATTTTACTTTTTAGCTTCACTTTTGCTGCTTGTTTCGCTTTTCATCATTGCATATTTTACCGGAGACAGAGTTGGATTTCCTCCACTCTCTTTCGGTCTGAAGTTCAAGTTTGTGGCCTTGGAATTTGTTTGGTGGCTCTTTTTTTTTTTTTTGGATTGCATTTATGTTTTTTTTGCATTTTGTATTATTTAAATTTTAAATTTTAAATTTTAAATTTTTAACTTCGATTTGTCTAATCCTGTTATCCTTTATTGTTGTTATCCATGGCTTAACTCCTTAAAATTTGGATTAACTAAACATATGAGGCAGGGTCCATTTGGGATGGTAGCAGCTGCATGCAAAATCAATGTGGGATTGTGATTGTTTTTTACAGTTTAATTTACATGTTGCTGCCTTCTTCTTTGCTACAACTTTGTTGCTATTTTTCTTAAATTTTACTTGGTGAGAAAGAGCTTTTCACCATTGTGGACTAAAAAAGTCAGCTGTCATCCAACTTGTTTTTGAAAGGAAAATGCCTATAATGCTACAATAATTGTTAAAAGGAATGCTTTTACCACAATGATTTTACAGTTCGTTTATTCACTGTTATTGCCATCCCAAACAATCTAATTGTGTGAATAGTAGTATATATATTTTTCATTATTGTGGTTGTGTTAGATTTTTCTAAAATCTAGAAAATCGGACAACTAGCGGATCTTCCCATCATAAAAACTTTGAAAAAAACAACCAAAAGAAAAAAATATAGTTTAAAAGTAAATGTGTGTAGAGACTAACTCAAAAACACCCTAGAGGTTCTAATATTGTGAAATTAAAAGTGCTTGATGGTATAACTATATAGTTTGCTAGAGTAAGTTTTGTATCAAATTTAAAGAAGAATTTAATATTTTTAAGCAATATTATTATCACAACATACAAATTCTGTGGTAATATTGACATTTGACACTCATAAGGTCTTGAAGAGCCTATTAATTGGCTTAAATCAAACAGAGTTAGGGGACTCTACATTGTTGCATGTTGATCTATTGTTTTTAACAAATATTGTGGCAACCTGCCATGGAACGAAAATGATTTTAAGAATATGACATAAAATATAAAAATGTGAGAGTTGTTGTGAACTTAATTGTTGATGATTTTGAAAGTGTTGGAAAAATAAGGTTTCTATCAAGTAGAACTTCCAAAGTATTGATGGGCATTGTATACTAGGGAAAAATCAAAATAAAAGAGCAACATGATAATTACAAAGTTTGGCCAGTTAGCTTCCAATGGATTGAGGTAGCACAAAGTTTTGGAATTATTTTATTCATAATTATTATGCTTGTACTTTGAAAATTTTGACTTCAAATGGGAGAATATAATCTATTTATTTTTTAATTATTTTAGATAATATTTAATTATAGTTTTTAAATGTTAAGGGCCATCACAACATTCTAATTAGTGGATACCAAAAAGCCCTAAATTGAAGCTATCATAAAATGTAGAATGGGGGCTACAAAAATATTTAATGGTGGTTGGTAATTAATCTTAGAAAGCGAAGATTTCACTATATAAACTCACATAATCTTCATTTGTACAACATTCACAAGAAAAAGTAATAAAGAGATGGGAAGAATAGAAAAAGAGAAGAGGGGTGTCATCGAAGAATGAAAAGAAGAAGCCTTCAGGGTACTTCTTCTTCAAGAAAGAAATTTTCTTTTAACCACACAATGTGGTATCCTTGTCTCTATCTAATTTTATATGATGTGTAATTTTTCATGCATTTTTTTTTTGAAGTTTAATGGGTTATTTGATCTATTTGAGGCTATGATTACTTACAGGGGTGGGTCCACTTACAATTCAATGCAAGCAATTTCACACCCTTAAGATTATTTTTCTTGCCTTCTTTAAAATGTAATTTCTTTTAATATTATAGGATTCTCTATTTTATTTTGCCACCTCAATAAATTAATATTTCCAAAAGTAAGGACAAAAATTAACTTTTTATTTTCTTACCCTCAAAAGAGAGGTTGGTTCTGCTTTACTTACTTGAGCCGTATATATATTCTCTGCTAGTCATTTTATGGTCTTTACAGAGGAAAATTTAAATTTTCTTTTCGGACCAAAGTTGTATTTATGTTCTTACAAAATCAATGTAGGATGTTGGTTGCAATCATTTACAAAGTGTTGGGTTTTCTAATGATGGTTTTGTCCCAACCACCATCATGAGAGAACTTCGTCTTATGTGGGTATTTTCTCGGATGCACATTGAAATATACGAGTATCCTAAATGGTAGGCAGTTGGGTTTTATCAAACTTGACTTACTGGTTCTTTGTTCTATGTTTTGAAGCTATTATGTATACTTTGTTTTAGGGGTGATGTTATTGAGATTGAAAGTTGGTTCCAAGGAGTAAGAAGAGTTGGCAATAGGCGTGATTGGATTCTCAAAGATTTGGATACTGGTTTGGTTATTGGCAGAGCTACAAGGTACTTCACCCAATAAATCTAACATTTTGTGACCTTTTTATACTTCAGTCATATCTTGAGTTTACAAACAGTGAGATAATTGGTCAAATTAAACAATTTTGGGCATGGATTTATTTCAATGTTCATGGAATAAAACGGTTCAAGCTCTTAAGCCTATGGATGTTAAGCTCATGATCGTTTATTTTAATATGGATTACGTGATCGACATGCATTAACCTTTTATGGTAAAGGATTCATGATGGTCAATCATGAATTTCTTGGTTAGAATGTGGGTTAATGGAATGGAAGAACATTTTTCAAATGAATCAGCCTTGTTTTTGCGGTATTACCCACCACCTTCCCGAGTAGTTCACATCACAAAGATTATCTATTGAAATATGATACAGTAGGGAAGAAACTTTATTATAGAAAAAAAAAGTTGTTCCTTTAAGTTCGTTTTGATGCACACTCTTTGATGCAGTAGAATACTGTCAAGTTAATGATATTTATTGTAGAATCCAAGACATTGGTGTGGATAAAAAGATAGTCATCTTCGCAAGCATTCCATGACTAGAATATTTTTTATGTTTTAATACAAATGTTGAAATTTTATTTTGTTATTTCCTTAGTATTCTCTTTTTCTTTTATTTGGTTATGTCAATTTTGCAAGGGTGAGAAAAGAGAAATAAGTCGTATGTATGTTTTACCACTTTACATTTAAAATTTAATGCTACTCATCAATTATCTTATGAGAAGTAGCATTAATGTCATTTTGATCATTTGGAGGTAACTTTGTGATATCGTTCTAGGGCTCCTAAAAGATTTTTTGGGAGTGGATTTAGAGGAGGGGAGGTTGTAGAATAACAAATAAATGATAGTATGCGAGGGCTTGGAGGAGGATAAACAATGAGATCTGCTATTGAACAATAGATTTACGTTGTTTGACGGCTGTTCCTGTGAGACTAACGACAAAAATGGCATGGTGCGGGCAGCTTGGAGGATCAAAGCTTGTTCTTGAGGAAGATACAAACACTACTTGCAAAAGAAAGAAGATACAACATTTCTAAAGCAGAAATTAAGATAATACGATCTCCATAGTACTCAAACAGAGTAAAGTCTTACTCCTGAAAACAATAACACAAATTGTTTCCTAGTAGAAAATAACCTAATTTGAAATAAAAAAATCGGAAATAAAAAAATAATAAATAATTGAATGGAAAAAAATCAAAAAGGAAAGAAATATGCTAAAAATAAGAAATTTTGAGTTTCTTTGTCGGTTGAACTGTAGCTGAATTGCGGCTTATCTCACGATCTAGCGTTCTGCTGTCCTTGGTCCGTGGAATTGAGGAGTTCCGCAAAGCAGATGCTCTATATCATTCTCTTGGGCTGGGAGAAGCTTCTTCTTCTATCGAAAGAGCTGGTTCCCACTATCGGATATTTTTTATCCATAAAGCGTCTAATGAGATATCTAAATATAATCCAAAAGGGTATATTTAATTGACATAAAGTTTTCTGTCAACTAAGACTGACTTAAAGGTGTCACATTTGACAAATATCCAACCTAGATCTATAAGGGTCTCTTAGACGACGTAATCCATGGTTGCCGATAATGATTCTTATGCCAGGTTGGGTCGATTGTCTCATTTGACTCAATAGATCAGAGACTATGATGACCCATGACGACAAACCTATGGGATCTTGTTTTAGTTTATCACTCTTTACATTAAGCTCAAGGTAATAAATTTTATAATTTAAATCCTAAAATTGTTGCTATTATATGTTGAATGTTCAGTGCTTAATGACTAATCTTAATTGAAAGTGCTCTCCCATTATTGGCTTCGGTAATTAACCATAGGAACTTGTTCCCATGAAAAACCTTGAACTATAGAGCCAAATGTCCTAGTGTTTTATCTATAATTCAATCTATCTTCTTAAAATTTGACCCGGAATGCTGAATACGAAGCTTTCAACAACGACGAGAGTTCGAGACACGAATTTTCATAGCCCAAGAGGTAAACCATAAATCTATGTTAAATTTGCACGGAGAAGCTATTTATGTGATTATTGCATCTCTACGGCTCTCCATGGCTCCCTTGTCTCCATGGCTCCCTTGTAATGACCAAAATGCCCTTGATGTGCCTGATCTAAACACTATTGTGTGACTAACATTAAATTTTTTATGTAAAAATGTTAAAATTTGCATGCAACAAATTTATATTCCTTCACGATCACAACATTTAACGCTAGCTCATAAACTGACTGGAAAATAATAAAAATTGTTTCCAACATTTACATGAAAATGTAAAAGTATGATAATCGTGGAAATACATAGTGCGGTAGGTCATTCATTTAGCCTCACTAATGTCCTCCATACTTAATTAAAATTTATTTAGTTGCTTTTCTTTAATGCATAATTTTTTTGCCAGAGGAATGTTGGATGTTTCATACTTGCAGTGAACTGTTAAAGATATTATTATTATTATTATTATTATTTTAAGTTTTTACTATTATTCAAGTTATTTATTGCTTTGCTGCTACAGGTCAGGATAAATGACTACTTTAGGAATATTTGTATTTCAGTTCCACTTTTGTTGATGGTCATAATAAGTAATGTTGTCAGTAGTGGTTGATTAAACCAGAAAATGGCAGAATAATCTACTATGCGGCATTCTCATCAAATCTTCCTATTCCTGTTCTATTTTAAAGATATCTTCACAGTGCTTGAGCTTCATTTGCTTAACTATTTTTTACCTAGGAAATTTACATATGTATTACACAGTTCTCACATATTTTTGAGGTGATATCAAAGATTTGTTGCACGGTTAATATGAGTGTTTTGGTGTTAGATGCAATACATAAGAATTGTGTGCTATGTATGTAAATGCCCCATTTTTACTTTTGTCTTTTCTATACAAAAATGAGATTGAAAATAATTATCTGTCACAGATAATGGCTATTTTTAATGTTGAGTTTCTCTGCTTCTTACATTTGGTTTATGTTTGATGATCATAGCAAATTGGTCATGATGAATCAAGGCACTAGGAAACTTCAGCGAGTAAGTGATGAAATGGAGAAGGAATATCTTGTTTTTTGTCAGCAAACGCCCAGGTAATATTTGTTGGATTTCTTTTTTCATTCTGTTTACTTCGGCTCAATGTTAGGCAATTCATTTTCTTTTTTAAATGCAAAGAATTTTTTTGAGGTAAAATACTTATTCATTTCATTAACACTTAGGCTTATAAGGAGTATTTCAATATTTACAAATAAATTCCTAGATTTCCTCTACTTACAAATAGAACTTGATACAAATCTCAATACTCCCCCTCAAGATGGGCAAACGATATCCACAAAGCCCATCTTGTCACACGACCTAGACAAATCTAATGAGCTAAATCCTTTATTGAGGCAGTCAGCCACTGGCTCTCAAGTGGCAACATGACTCAGCTCCAATAAATTGTTATTTAGCTTTTCCTTGATGAAGAACGTATCAATCTCCGCATGTTTGGTTCTATCATGTTTCACCGGGTTGTTGGCGATCCTGATCGCTTACCTTTTTTCGCACAACTTCATTATAACTCCTTGATTCACTTTGAGCTCTACTAACAATGCTCTCAGCTGCATCACCTTAACAACTACTAATACCATGACCGTATACGCTGTCTCTGTTGTTGACCTCACTACTAATGACTGTTTCTTACTCTTCCAAGTGGCCAAGTTGCCCCCCTAAAAAAATGCAATATCTAGGTGTGGACTTCATGTCATCCATACAACTCGTCCAGTCAGAGTCTCAATAGCTCTCAATGCTTACATTTCATTTCTTTCTGAAGATCAAGATCAACCTCTTTCCCGGTGTACTCTTTAGGTACCTCAGAATCTGATATAATGTATCCATGCGACCCTTCCTTGTATCATGCATGTAGCGAGTCACCACACTTATTGCAAATTATAAGTCGGGACTAGTGTGACTCAGATGAGACGGCCCACCAACCTCTGGTACCTCTCGTGATCAACTGACCCTCTTGCCTTTGGGCTCAACTTTCCCTTCTGATCAATTGGTGAAATTGTAGGCTTGCATCCCAACGTGCTTGTCTTTTTGGGCAAGTCTAGCACATACTTTCTTGGAGATAGAACAATCCCCTCTACTTCACAAGCCACATCAATTTTAAGAAGTATCTAAGCTGATTCTGATCCCTCACCTCAAAATCTTTGCCCAAACATGCCTTCATCTGAGCATTCTCTCCCTCATCATCCCAAGTGACAATCATATCGTCCAAATACACGGCAAGAATAGTAACTAATCTCCATGTTGTTGAAAGAATATTATGTGGTCAGTATTCATTTGTTGATAACCCATGCCTACCATTGCTTTCCAGAACCTGTCAAACAAAGCATGAGGTTTGTTTCAAACCATACAGTGACTTTCTCAATGTACATACCTTGTCCACTGTTTGGTTCGTGTCGAAGCCTGGGGTATCTCCATGCACATCCCCTCTAGGAGATCTTCATGAAGAAACACATTTTGAAACAGTCTCGATTGAGTTAAGGATTTACTTTTCATTTAAAAATATTAAATTACTTTCAATCATTAAATCCATTTATTTTACTTTTTGTATAATACAAAAAGGCGAAATAATTTAAATCATAAAACAATCATTTTATTTTTTGGTTATTTTTGTTCAATCATAAAAATGTTTTTAAGCTTTTATAAAATAACTGAGCCTGCTGTCAAGTAGTATGCCCATCTCTCGATGCGATGTATTAGTTGTGGTGCTGTGTTCGATTGATTAAACTACTAGACATATGGAATTTGTTCGGTCATATTTTTCAAAATTAAAACACTATTTTTAAAAATCAAAATTATATATTTATACTAAATTAAAATTATTTTAAAAAAAAAGTTGATCGACAGAGTGCTCTGGTCATAACTATTATTTTGTGGTGTCATTTGATATCAAAATCACGTGGACAGAGGACTCATGTCACGTTCTTACTGACATGCAATAATTTTAATTGTGAATATATTTATACATTTGAAATGACATCCGCTCTTTGTGAGCTGAAGTCAATAAAAAAAGTGTTAGTCTTGACGAACTATTATAGATGGTGGGTGAAATTTGCTTTTAACTTCTAGATGATATAATTTGGCTTTACATATTAGTTGAAATCTTAGATCAACACGACCATCATAAGAGATTTGAACATTTAAAACTTTTATATTTGAATGGGGGGCATTTAGTTTTGTAAGTTTAGACTTTTAGAATATAAGTCATATCGACTTCTATCCTTATAAGTAGGAGAATCAGATTAGGTGGTTTGAACTTCTAGATTTTCTTCTTTAGAATTTGAATATTTCTCTCAAAGTTACCATACTCCTCAATTTCAGTTCTTGTGAGGAGAAAGATTGGACTAGTGGAGTGATTTGGATGTAAATTCTTATTTCAAGATTTGAACACTTATTAGGGCTTTACTAGATTCGTCAACTCCCGTCCTTACAAATAGGAGGATCAAACTAGTTAAGTGGAACTTACGACCCTATCCTAAAGACAAGGTGGCCTGATTAGCGCGGGCAGCATTCTAGAACCTAATTTGTGAGCATTCAATATGTTTGGTTGGAGCACATGCGGGACTTTAACTTCCATATGTTTAAGCTATTTTAGTTAGAGCATTTAGTGCCTTAAAACAATTCATATAATTTTAAAACATGAATTGAATCAAAGAGCTCACATACAAATCTTCATTTTTAGCTTAATAAAATACTATCTTTTGTTCAATTGTAAATGTCTTGTGAATCAGGTAGCCGGGCTTTCAAATCCAACTTAACTCCTAAATTCGGGGTATTTGAATTTCAATTTAAGTTTAGCCTTGTGAATTTTGTTACTTTGAATTTAAATTAGGCTAAGCCTCGAATGTATTAAGTTATGTTTGAAAGTATAAATAATTATTATATGGGTCAATTCAAATAATTCAAACCTAAGAGTTTGGATTTGAAATTTTAAACTTTTTTTTTTGGTTAATTTTAACCCTAAGCTCTTAATAGTGAAAGCTCAACTTTGGGTTAATTTAACCATTGAGAATTAAACTTAAAAATTCACATTGACTTTGATTTAAAATTTTAAAATTTCAAGTTTGAATAGTCCAAAAATTGTTATCATCTTTAAAATTCATAAGAGCCTAAAATTTAAAAGTCCGAATTTTAAAATATTTTAAAGTCGTGGAGATTTTAAATCTCAAAAGCACGAGGCTTTACTTTTAAAATACCAAGAGCCAACATTTCAAAAGCTCAAATTTTCAATTTTTTTAAATTTCAAATGATTCATATTTTATTTTATTTTATTTTATAAGCCAAAAAGTTCCAATATTTTCTAAGATAAAATATATATTGTGTTATAAAAATTAGTTTAAATGTAAGAACTTAGACAACTGAAAAAATATAAGATGACCCGTATGGAGTCAAAGAGAATAATTTGTGCCACTAAAAATTGTATTTTTAGTGATCTTTATAATATCGTAGATACTAGTGAAAAATATATGTACAAACTAGCCAAACAAAAAGAAAAACAAAAGTAAAAATTTAATTCAAATAAAGTGTACATCTTCTAGGCACTCATCCAGACGACTTGTTTGGAATTTCATGAATTTGAACTGTCTCTGAATTATCATTCCGTGGCTCTTAACCTCCGCGATGTCCTCGAAATAAACCACTTTGATCAAAATTCCTCTTATATCGGCTGAGAGAAGGGCACTATCTGAAGATTGGATGGGAAGTGCAATCAGAGGATTCCGCTGCTAGAGATCTCCGCATATCTCCACGCCTTGGAGATTCAACAAACCTTTGTAGTTCATGTTATCGAGGTTCAACTGACCGATCGTAACTCCAGATCAACTAATTTCCATGTAAATAATCTGCGAAAAACTACCACTAATTATACAGAATTGCATATAGGACAGTGGCGTCGCGATCAAAACACTAGTCTGTTTTCGGCGTGCGAAGAAGAAGGCAAGGGCAGGATCGGGCGGGGGAAGCAATCGTAGCAAGGAGGTGCGGCACCAGTGCGAGTTTCTCTGGCAGGGCAATGCAGGAGATGAAAGATGGGAAGTTCAGGTTTCTATATGCCGCAATTCCATCACCGTCTTCCCAATTAGCACTAATCGTGATTATATTGCACGATGGTAGGCGAACAGAGGAGTTTGAGTGGCATCTACGTCCAGGATGCGAAGCAAAAGGAGAGAATTATAGAAGTTTTGGAATTTTGTGTGTGTCGCGATCTCTTTCTTGCTGCTCTGGTTAGCCCTAACCACTATTGTATCGAGAGTGGTTCAAGGGGTTTCTGCGATTGAGCTTGCAAGACGATGAAGAGGAAACGATGTGTTACTATGCAGTGCAAGAAGTCGAGTGAAGAAGAGGAACAGTGGAGTTTCAGAGAAATTTATCTGTTGCAATCTCGTGTTTGCTTGGAGATAATTACAGGAGTTTGAGGATGTTTGTTGTGATCCCGTTGTTGTTGTTCCTAGCTAGGAATAACGGCACTGATGGAGTTTAAGTGAGAAAAGAAACTGAGACCTCCGTATGAATGAGCTGGAACTATTATGGGGCAGGATTAGTTAGGGTTTTAATCTAATTAATTTTTTTCTCTTATTTTATTTTATTTTAAGCATCAGCA